CGCGTTGGTTAAGAGCTGGCCTGGGAAGCCAGAGGGCCCCAGGTTCGGATCCCACATATGAGGGCCAGTGACACTGCCCTCTACAGCTAAGATGCTGAACAACAGCTTGACCTGGAGCTGGGCTGCCATGAGTCGCCGGCGACGGCGTAGGCTGCAGGCCCTGTGGCAGTGGGTTGCCATGGGCTACTGTGTGTAGCCAGCAGCCAGCGTGAGCGGCCAGCAGCCGCAGTGAGCGGCTGTCCAGAAGCCGGCGACTGATCTGCCTCGCAGGGAAGAGCGCAATGATGGTGCCAACTTGGGCCAGTGAAGCAACGTCCTCCACAACTAGACTGAAGAACAAAAGGACAGCAACTTGTCTGTTCCCCTTCCCCCAATTCCCCAGCACTGTTCCCATCCCCCAATTCCCCAATAAAAAAATCTTTAAAAAAAAATTATGGGGAAAATGAGTTTTCTCTTAATATGTTTCTGCACTAGTAGGCTGGTTCAGTAATAAATATGTGAGGGCTTCTAAAAAAAATGAAGCTGGGCGTGGAGACTTAGAAGAAGAGGTGATGGACTTGCTGCTTGGTGATGGTGGGAGGAGATTCTTGGGCCGACTCTAAATGAGCCGCAAGTCCCTTTCAGCATCACAGCATCCTTGGATCCCTGTGCAGCCTCCAGCAGCCAGAGCAGATGGGCAGGGCCAGCTCTGGAAGAGTTACTCCCTATCTCCAGTTCACAATCTTGATGGTTATGAAAACCTATTCACTTCTTTGCCCTGTTGCCTGACCGATGGCCCCCATCTGTACTATCTGAAGATCCAGGGACCAGCTCCAGACCATGCTGGAAAGAGGGCTTAGCTCTCTGGGTTGAATCTTATAAATGATCACATGGGCATCCCATCCACCCACCCATCCATCCATCCATCCATCCATCCATCCATCCATCTATTCTTTCAACACATATTTGTTGGGAATCAGTGCAAGAGGTGTATAAGGACAGTCATAAAAACAGACCCTGTCCCCGTGGAATTTATAGTCTGGTAGGGGATATAGGCATGTTATCTGAAAAACAAAATGAAGTGTGATATGTGTGCTGTGATAGGGGTCATCTAGGTCACTTAGCAGGGGACCTGATTTAGTCTGTGATGAGAGTTCATGACGGAAGTTCAGTCTTAGGCTGGGACTTGAAAGATAAATAAGACTTAACCCATCAAGTGGGGAGAGAGAGGCAGGAAGAGTATAGGAAGGAGGATCAGGAGCATGGGCGCCTTCTGGAGATTTCAGACGACGCTGGGCAGAGGAGGCTCTAAAAACAGCGGAGCTAAGGAAGAATTGGCGAGAGCTGAGGCAAAATAGGAAGGCAAGGACAGGATCTTGTAGGGTCGCTGAAACACCTTTTCAGCACCTTGCAAGGTGCTGAGGTGGGTGTGAACATGTATAAGACAAAATGAGTGGACCCCATTGAAGAGGCAGTGGAAGATAAGAGGAGCAGTCAGGAACCCTGGAGTCAGATTCTGGGTCCAGCATTCTTAAAGCTGTGAGCAAGATGCCCACCCTCCTACACCCCATGGAACCTCCCTCCACCTCTCCTGACTGTCTCAGGGCAAGCTAGCCACCAAGAGAGACACTTCCGGTGCTAGGGAATGCATCACCTTTCACTTTTCATTGTGGGGTGGGGGCGGGGTGTCCTTGAAAACAGCCCCAGTGCACTCCCTAGCCCTGCCACCTGTGGTACACTCTGTGCGTGAGAACATCCCCTCCTTCTTCTTCAGTCAAGATTTGATGCCCATCCCCATGCCCTGTCTTCTCTCCTCTAGGCTGGGCAGTCTCAGGTCTTAGAAATCATTCCTGGTGCTCCCTGTCATGTCCAGCCATCCTCATCTTTCCAGGACCACTTGGGTTGTGACCCTGTAGGCCCCGGGCCCAACCTGGTCAACATCAGTTGCCTTGGGGACCTCTGTCTAAATGCCTGACCCACGCATCCAGATCTGAACTTCCTAAAAGCCACCTTTGGGCCCTAGCCCTGGCTCTATCTCCAGCTTATCTGCTACCTGCTTCTGAGGATGAGTCAGTTCTTGTAAGCGGGGAACCATATCCTCTCCCCCTAGGACTTTCTCAACTGTTCTCAGGTGGCCCCCTCCAGAAAGGTCAATGGTCAAAAGAAAGGTAGGCATTTTCTGGTTATGACTCCTCCCTGAGATAGTTCAGAGACCTGTCATGGGAAAGGCCCCAAGAAAGACTGAAGACAGACAACCTCAGCACCTGCCATGAGTTGTTCTCAGTCCAATAGGAACCATGAAAAAAAAAAAAAAGAACAGTTATTTGCAGGGTTAATTGAAAGAAAGGAGGTGGGGCAAACTGGAGAACTGAACAAGACCTGGCAGGGTGGGGCCCTGGCTGTGACTGCCTGGCAACGGGACTCCCCACTGGCCTCAGGACACTGCTTCTGATGGGAATTAATCATTGATGGCTGCTGGGGGTGCAACAGCCTCCCAATATTGGTCATCAGAAGAGGGTCTGCAAGGGTCCCAAGAGTCTCTGACTTTGAAAGGGAGGTGTAGATGCAAAGCCAGGGTGGGGGTGTCTCAGTAAAAGAGTAGCCATCTAATTTGGAAACACTGAGTTTTGTCCTAGTGCCATCACAGAGGCCCAGGGCATGGAGGGCTAGGCAATGAGCATGAACAGTTTTGGATATGAATCTGAATTTTCTCTCAGTCACTCATAAGCTGTGTGACCCTGGGCAAGTAACTTTACTACTCTGAACCTACACCACAGGGTCGTGTAGAGAGTTGGGTAAACTGGGATGCAGATTACACACACAGTGGATTTTGTTCCTCTGGGGGAGACCCAACCCTGCTCTCCTGTGTCTCTCCCAGGGCCTCAGGCCATGGGAGAGGCCTCCTCCAAGGTGAGACAGAATTGGAGTATTGTTTTGGGTATCTGAAACCCTGTGTTTCCTGACCCTTCCTCACCTTGCCCTGAGCAGGTGGCAGGTTGGTTGCGTGAGAGTGGAGAGGCCATAGCCTGAGTGGGGCGTGTCTTACTATAGCTTCCCACCCAGCCTGGCTCCAGGAGTCTTGCCACTTGGATCCATCCATAGCTCTCTGCCCACCCTGCAGAAGGCATTGGGTGTCTGTCTCACACAGACCTCACTGGCTCCTGGAGTGTCTGGGCATAACAGTCTAGGTCACGAGGTTATACATCCTGGAAATGTGGTTATCAGCTCTCAATCCTGCACCCCACAAACCACACAGAGCCTTCTGTTCTCTAAATCACCATGTTTTCACATCTTTCCCCACACTGTTTACTTCCTGAAACATTCTCCCTAGTACTCTGTCTTCTCCTGGCACTCACAGGTCATCACAACTCTGATAGTCAACAGAAATATAGATTGAGCTTCTACTATGGGGTAGAGACGGGGAAAGTACCAAGAGACAGAGACTCTGGCTAGACAGACAACTGGCAATTCCTTCCAAGACACAACCTGCCCTTCTAACACACACACACACCACCCTCCGGGCCTTAGCTCACTCTCCCCACTGCTTATGATCCTTCCTCCCTCACTTTGTGGCCAAATTAGACTCAACTTACAAGCCTTACTTAATTGCCACCTTCTACAGAAGCCCTGCTCGGTATTGCTATGTAGTTCTTGCCTTTCACCTGGAACTCCCGTACTGGTTTAACGGACCTCCTAAAGCACTCATAGAGTGTGGAGTCAATGACAGACTGCACATACGACGGTGGTCCCGTACTTTATAATGGAGCTGAAAAATTCCTATCACCTAGTGACATCAGAACGTTATAGCACAAGGCATTAAGTTGCCTAGGAACAATAGCTGTACCACATAGTCTAGGTGTGTAGGAGGCTGTACCATCTAGGTGTGTGTAAGCGCACTCTATGATGTCTGCGCAATGACAAAATCACCTAATAACACATTTCTCCAAATGTATCCCTGATGTTAAACAATGCAGGACTGTGTCCTAGGGCCTCAGTTTTCCCTCCTGTAAAATGGAATAATAGCACTAACTCATGGTGGTGTGGTTGTACTGAGTAAGTGTAATAGTACACTAACCAGCTTGTACTAAATACTGAACAAATATTAACTCTTACCAGCAGCATTTTAATCTCTTTGTCTTTAGCACTGAGCACGGAGCTGAATATATAATTAGTGCCAAATACTTGTTGGATGGATGGATGGATGGATGGATGGATGGATGGATGGATGGATGGATAAATGGAGAGATTTTTTCCAGTACATGAGACACTCTTCGCTGGTCTTCCATCGCAGTTTAGGAAGAGCCTAAAAAATAAAGCAAACTAATCCTTGTTACATACTTACCACACATCAAGGCTTAACATACCATAGGTTATCTAATTTGAGCCTCATGGCAGGAAACTATTAGAGCAAAACAAGGAAGTGGCTATTCTGACAGGTTCAGTCAGTGGCTCAACGTCACAAAGTGAATAAGAGATAGTCCCGACAGGTGGCTTTGCAGTTTCCCAGACACCTGGAAGGAAGAGGAGGGCTTGCTCCAGGCCTTGGCTGCCTCGTCTTAAACTAAAAACCCCTAGAGGGCAGGGCCTCTCTAGAAGCAGGGCTGCCCCACCCAGATCCCTGTATAAACAGCTCACAGAGAACCTGGCTTTGGGGAATAAAAGGAGGCTGGGGAGGGGAGGTGGCTTGGGGTCTCCCCCTACGGGAGGTAGGCTGTGGGTCTTCCCAGGCACCCTTCCTTCTCTGGCTTCTCCAGCAGCAGCCCTTAGCAGCCTCCATGCGCAGAAGGGGTTAACTCTGGGCTTAACTTCTTGGAAGAACCTGAAGCTTTTACTCCTTAATCTCACCCTCCTCCCTTTCTTTACAAAGTCTTCCTGATCTTTATACTTCCTGCAGGTCCCTCCTCCTTACTCTCACCCCCTGACTCTCAAAACACTGATTGCCAGGGTGGGTCAATGGTTAACACTCCACGAGCTTTATATAAGCCTGCCCGGCCGCCTACCTGCTCCAGTCGGTCCTTCAGTTCCCTGGATCCCTGAGACACACCATGGCCACCTGGTGGCGGGCCCTGTGGGCCTATCGTTCCTACCTGATCGTGTGGTTACTGCCCATTTTCCTGCTGCCTCTGCCCATTATCATCGCCACCAAGGTAAGGACTTGGGGTTCTGGGTACAGAGAAGCTCCCAGGGGGCAGGGGATGGGCTGTTTGGGCCAGGGTTGGGGGATCCTTAGGACCAGCATGATCTACTCTTGCCTCCTAGCCTGGAAGTGAGGCTATAATCTCCTGGTTCTCCTGAAGGGTAAGAGGTCAAAGGAGGCTTCTGCTTGGCACCCAGTAGCAGGATCCCAGTGAGAACTGCTTAGGTGCACTTGAAATCTACTGCCTTGGGAGTCAGGAAGCCAGTTCCCTAAAAGAGGTGCAGGTGGAAGCAGAGGGGGGCTATCTGCCTACTATGTGCCCACCTGCCACAGACTGGGCTCAGCGGGAAATGAGCGGGGTTACCTGCTGGAGAGGGATGGAAGGTGAATAGGATAAAGGTGGCCTCAGGCAGTTGGTGTCTTTAAAGGTATAGACAGAAAAAGAAGTCTCTCACTGTGATCCCAAGGGCTAAGTCTGCTGAGAAGGGGTGGGACCTGGACAAGGGACCCTGCCAGTGGGCACCACAGACACTCTGGGTGGATGGGGAGGTGCCACTGCTTCCTGCCCCTCCCCCAACCCTGGCAGCAGGAGTCATAACTTCGATTCCCATTATTGGAGCCCCCACCACACACCCTGTACTGTGTACCCAGGAACTCTTTCCCCCATCTTATGAGTCAGGTCGGACAGTCCCATTTTACAGATCGGGAAAGTGAGGTGAAGTCACTTACCCCAAATCCTGGGGCAGATCTTGTTTTGTGGAGCTCAGATATTATACACTTTGGGGGCCCGCTTGTAAGTAAAAGAACACAAAATTATGAACCCAAAAGTAGCACAGGGCTTGGGGTAGTGTCGGTCCAGGAGGAGAGCCTGGAAGTCCAAGTTTCACAGTAAATCTCGCTCTGGCAGGTCACATATTTAGAAAGTGCAGAGCTGGGTGTGTGGTTTAGTTCCAAAGCCTGTGTTTTCTTCTTTCCACCCCACTGCCTCCTGAAGGCTGAGACAGAATCGTGGCCCTGGCACTACCCCACAGGCCCAGACATGCCCATTGAGCCGTTTTCTTCTTCTTGTCACAGATAGGGAAATTGAGGCAATCTTTTTGTTCACGGTGTCCCAAAGGGGTGAGGGACTGGGGATATAGTGGCACAGCCCCTGGGTCCCTGACACCTGCTAAGTGACAAGGCCTGGCTGACCTTTGAGATGACCCTCGTCTCAAGCCAAAGCCAGTGGCATCTCTGTACTGGGATCCCAACTGACGGGTTTTCAGACAAGCTGGGCCAAGTGTGTTAACCCTGGGAGGGAGGACAGACAGACAGGGACTGTGATTCTCATTTTACCGCCCCCCACCCCCCAAGAAAAGCACAGCTCAGAAAGATTCAGTAACTTGGCCAAGGTCACACAGAAAATCCTGGATCTATACAAGAAGCCAGGCCTCCTGGTGGGACTGCAACATGTCAGGAACCTCTGTCTTCCCTGTGCTGCACCCAGCCCTGCTGCCTGCCTCTGCCCACAGACACTGCCTTCCCTGTCCTCAGATGAATTCTCCCCAGTCCCATCTACGGAGGTCAGCCCCTCCACTGGGGTGCTGGATACCAGCCCCTCTCAATGACTTTGTGCTTGTAATTACCCTGTCTTCCCTCTATCAAGTTCGCTCTCGCTGCCTGATCGCTCCCATCAGCATACAAACATGCTATAATATCTCCCGTCTTAAAAAACAAACAAACCCTCCTTTGATCCTATATCCCTTCCGTACATGCCTCTTTCTCTGCTCTCTCTCACACAAAAAGCCTCAAAGACTGTCTGCACTGCACATGTCTCTCCTTAGACAGCTCCAGTCTCCAAGACTCTACCTACCCAAAGGGCTTTCGTCAAGTCCCCATCAGCTTCCATGTTACCAAGCCCCTGGTCCATGCTCACCTTCCTCAACCCTCAGCAGCATTTGTCACAGCTGGTCACCCTATCGTTGCAATGCTATCTTCTTTTGGCTTTGGTGACACCTCCTGGTTTCTCCCCCCTCACCCCACCCCACCACCCCAGCCACTTTTCCTGGCTCCTTCTCCATTCATTTACTCTTCCCCAGGTGATCTTTTTCTGCCTCCTGCTTCAAAAAGCATCTGTATGTTAAGGATTCCTCAATCTGTACCTCCAGCCCTAACCTCTAAATCTGTACTACGCAACTAACACTCAATACTTCCACCTGAATATTTTCTTTTACACAGCATATGCTTTTGCGTGTCCAAAACAAAACCCTCATTGCCCATCTTTTCCAGTTGGCTCTTCCTGCAATCTTGTTCATCAATATGTGGTTCGACCATCTATCTCGGAGGCATTCCTTATTCCTATCTTTCCGTCATTTCCACATGCACCAGCAGGTCCTGTTGACTCGATATCCCAAAAATATTTTGAGTGCAATCACTTTCCACTGCCTCCACGCTCATCCGGGCCACCATCACCTCTCACCTGTCCCTATCCCTCCCCAGGCCATTCTTTATCCATCCACCTGGTCTTTTCAAAACGTAAGATTATGTTACTACCCTGTTGAAAACCCCACACAGGCTTCCCATCAAACTTAAAATCTAAACTCCCTAGGGCAGCTACAAGTCCCTGGGGCTCTGCCCCTGCAGACCCCTCAGGCTCCATGCCCCTGTCCTACTTCCTGTCCATTCTGCCCCAGTCCCACCAGCTTTCTCTCTGCTCCTCAAAGTGTTCATCTCCCTGCCTGGAATGTTCTCCCAGATGCCTCCTCATTTCTTAGGTTTCAGTTTAAACCCACCTCCTCAGGAAAGCCTTCTCTGACCATCCCCTTTGTAGAGGGCTTTCACTATCTGAAATTATGCATTTGTTTAGTTTCTATTTATTTTCTTAGTCCCTATACTAGAATGTAAGCTCCATAAGGACAGGCACTTTGTCTTTTTCCATGCAGAATCCTCAGTGCCTAGCACATAGTAGGTGCTCAACAAATACCTGTCAAATGAATGAATGTGGGCAAAGAGTGTCCTGTCCTGAATTCCTGCTGATTCTCTGCTCTCTGTGTTGAGTCCCTGAGCTTACCTCCATGCCCCTGGCCCCAGAAGTGGGAAGGAGTCCTAGACTAGGCTCAGACCTGTGTCCATATAACAAGAGTTGACATTTATTGAGTATTTCTTTATGTGCTAGTCATTGTGCCAAGCACTTCAATGCACTAACCCATTTATTTCTCGCAATAACCTTACTGTGAGTGTACTACTATTACCTCCATTTTACAGACAAGTAAATTCGGGCCCTGAGTGGAAAAGTCATTCGCCTAAAGTCCCAAGTAGAAAAAGGCTAAGTCTGGACTGAAACCTGGTCTTGGGGTCTCTACCTAAGGCTGTCCAGGGATGCAAGATGTGCGTCACATCTTGAGCCATCTACCCTCACGTCCATCCAGCTGTCAGCCAATCCTTCCACTGTTGTTCAGTCTGGGATGTCTGTGGAGCTCTTGCACTGTGCTGGGGGTTACCAAAAAGCAATACAGGCGCTCTGTCCTCAAGTTGCTGTCAGTGTACCTCTACCTGTGTTTACACAGAGGTATAGCCAGAAGACTGCACAAGCTCAGAGGAGAGAGAAAACTCTTCCAGCTGAGTCAAGGGAAAATTTGAAGCAGGTGGCATTTGAGTTGGGCCTTAAAGGCTGAGTGAGATTCTAACAGTCAGAGGCATCTGTAGAGAGCAGGCCAGGTGAAGGGATTGCAGGAGCAAAGGTATAGAGGCTGGAAATAGCAGGGTGGGTTTGAGGAATAGTTACAGAATCTTTGAAACGTTCATCATCCTCTGGTGGTCCCAGCAGATGGGGGACAGTGGGGCCTGAGGCCTTCTCACTGCTTCCCCAGCCCTGCAACCAGACAGTGAGGATGCACCATCAGTGTGTCAGAAACCTTACAGCCATTCATTCATTCATTCACTCCTTAAGGGAACACATACTGTGTGACAGGCACTGTTTAGGTGCAGAGGGTGGGGTTGGTGCAGAGACACACAAAAAGCATATACTGTCCATGCTATGAAAACCATATTGAGATTTGGGAGGGGCTGCTCTAGATGGGGTGATCAGAGAAGGGGTGACACCCGAGTGGTGATATTTACCCTAGGACCTGAATGTCAAGTAAGAGCCAGTCAAACTCAGCTCTGGCAAACCACACAGTGCAAAGGCCCAAAGCCAGGGCTGAGCTTGGCAAGGTGGAGGGATAAATGCAGCCAGTGTGGCATGGGGGCCTAAGTGAGGAGCAGGTGGCTTAAGCTTAGTTTAGAGAGACACGGGGAGGTCAGCCTATGTCAGCTCTACAAGACTAGGGGAAGGAATGAGGATTTTGTGCTGGGGGCTATGAGGGTAAATATTTGCACAGAGGTCAAACAGCTAGTAAGTTAGAGTCAAAACTGCAAATGCCTCCCAGGACCCAAGCGGATGATCTGTAAAAACAGTCTCCTTGGGGCACAATGTCTGCCAGGACAGAGCTTAGCTGAAATCCCTATTATATTTACAGTAAGAACAAAAGGTAGAATTTCTTAATCTGAATCACCTGCACTCCTAGACCATGAGAACAGTATGAGCGTGCATGCACATGCAATTAAAAATCTGTGTAACTAAAATATCCTTACCGCAAGTTGTCCCTGAACCCCAAAGATGCACCCAGGACTCAGATGATTTACTGTGGGCATGAAGACTGTACAAGGAATTTGGACTTCAGTTCTGGGACCCGCCTCTATCTTTTGAGACTTCCTGGCTCTTGGTAGAGAAGGCAGAGTCCATGGAATAAAACAGGTTTGGGAGCCAGACAGATGTGGGTCGAAATCCACTCTGTAGCATGGCCAGCCACGTGACCTTATCAAGCCTCTCACCCCTAAGGGGCTGCTGTCGGGATGAAATGAGATAACCCGAGTGCTTAGAGTATCTGGCTCCCAGGGCTCAGTAAAGAGTGACTCCCTCCACACTTGGCTTCTCATCTGAATTCCTGGCCCCAGGAAAATACAGCTAGCCTCAGGCACTGTGGAGACGAC